GGGGGGGGGATTCATGTTACACTTGCCCATCAGTATCTAGGATGAGACCACAGTTTTTTAAATGCCTTCTTTTCCATGATACTTTCACTTTGCTCATATTTTTGTTTATGCTTAAGCTGCTACTAGATTTTCTTTTTCAACTTTTGCCTAGAAAGAATGTTGAGGTAGAAACTTTCTCCAAAAAATTTTCTCCTTATTTTTACCTTTTTTTAAAGATTTATTTATTTGTGCATACAGAACTGGGGTACAGGCCAGAGGTGCAGGGGCGGTGAGAGGAATCACCAGAGGCAGTGGGGAGCAGAACAGGCAGATCTTTGAAGTACACTGCTGAGGTGAGCAGCGGGCGGGTCAGGAGAGGTCTGCTGTACCCTGTGGATCAGCTCCCTGGCCAGGTATTGAAATCATGCAGCAGTGGCTGTGGGTAGCTTGATAGCACTGAGACTTAACCCCTTGCACCATGAGGGAGGGTCCGAAACTGTACGTGATTTTCTGACATTTGATTCCAAAAATATTTTTAGATTAGGATTCTTTTTCTTTTACTCAAGTGATCTGATAATTGTTGACATAACCATTTGGGAGTACAGCTTTCCTCCTCTCAGGTACACGTGCCTCACTTGCATTCCAGAGCTCCAGGTCCAGTTCCCCCTCACCTCCCTTTCCTAGTTTTCACCCTACCCCCACCTGCCCTCTGCTCTGGTAACCACATTTTTTTCAAATAGGCTGTGGATATTTTTGTGTTTTGCCAGTTTATTTTCATTGATTATTTATGTTTCTCAAATTAGTGAAACCATCCAGTAATTATCTTTCTGGCTTTTTTCACTTAGCATAAATACGTCATGATCCATTCATTTTGTCCCAGAAGGCACTATTTCATCTTTTTAAATAATGAAGTGGTATTCCATTGAGTACATATTCCACAGTTTGCCCAGTCTTCTGTTCATGTGCCTTCAGGTTGATCCCATGCCTTGCTATTGTGAATAATGCTGCTAAGAACAGAAAGTGTTCTTAATTTTTGTGTTAGTCTTCAAATATTCTTGGGTAAATACTAGAAACAGTATTGCTGTATTATGTGGTATTTTCCTTTTCTTTTTTTGAGGACTCTCCACATCATTTTCTATAAGGGCTGCACTGGTTTACATTTCCACCAACCGTGAATGAGGGTTCCTTTTCCTCTAAGTTCTAACCAATATTTACTGTTTCCAGTCTTTTTTTTTTTTTAAGATTTTATTTTTATGTAGAAGAACTGAAGTGTAGGCCAGAGGTGAGAGATTCACCAGAGACAAAGTAGAGAGCAGAGCAGGCAGATTGACTGAAATACTGCTGAGGGGAGCAGCCGGGCAAGACAGACCCCTGTACGCTGTGCCATACAGGTCAGCTCCCTGCCATTCTCACAGGGGTGAAGTAATATCTCATTGTGATTTGTGATTTCCATTTGTATTTCCCTTATAGTAAATGATACTGAGCATATTTTCATGTGCCAGATTAAGATTCTGAGTGCTCTACAGAAACCTTTTGGCATTTATAAAACTGAGCACAACTACATTTTGTTCATGGGTGAAATTCAGTATTGTGGAATTAAGTTTTCAGAGATATTTTATTTATTTATTTTAAAGATTTATGCACACAGAACTGGGGTATAGGCCAGAGGTGTGGGGACATGAGAGGATTCACCAGAGACCGAGTAGGGAGCAGAACAGGCTGACTGATGAAGTACACTGCTGAGGGGAGCAGTGGGTGTGTCAGGAGATGTCTGCCGTGCCATGTGGGTCACCTTGGGGCTACGGATCAAACTCGCACTGAAACAGCTGAGGGCTGACATTTTATTTTTTTTAGAGATTTATTTATTTATGGATATAAGAGCTGGAGTGTAGGCCAGAGGTGTGGGTGGGTGAGAGAATTCACAGAGACAGAGTGGAGAGCAGAATGGGCAGATCTACTGAAATGCACTGCTGCGGGGAGCAGCAGATGAGACAGGAGAGGTCTGAGGTCTGTTGTGCCATGCAGGTCAGCTCTCTTGCTGGGGCTTGAACTCATGCTGCAGTGGCTGGCAATAGCTTGATAGAGCTCAGACTTAACCCCTTGTACCATGAGGGAGGCCCCACAGAGACATTTAAAAAATTGATTTTTAAAAAAGATTTATTTATGTATGCATATAAGAAGTGGGGAATAGGCCAGAGTTAACAGGGATGGGGTGGGGTGAGAGGATTCACTAGAGACAGAATGGGAAACAGAACAGGCAACTGACTGAAATATATGGTGAGAGAAGCAGTAGGTGAGACAGGAGAGGTCTGCTGTGCCATGTGGGTTCAGCTCCATGGCCGGGGATCGAACTCGTGCTTCAGTGGCTGCGGCTAGCTTCATAGTGCTGCTCGTTAACCCCTGTGCCACCAGGGAGGGCCCATTTAAAAATATTAACTATATATATTTTTAGTTACCTGAAGCATTTTTTTCATTTACTTGATCAAGCTAGGTAAATGCTAGCTTGATCAAGAAAATTAGAAGCAATAGGAAACTTGTGTTTTAAATAAAACTGCTAGGAACGATTTCAACTTGGAAACTATCCAGACCCTTTAATTGTTATCAGACTGTCCTTACAATTCTATTCAGTATTTGTAAAAGCCCATAGCAAAACTTGTGATAATAGTGGCTAAGCACTACTGACTAGTTGCTTATGTTTTTAAAAAAATTTATTCTGTTTATGCATAAAAGAGCTGGGGTATAGATCAGAGGTGTGGGGGTGAGAGGATTCATCAGAAAGGCAGTAGGGACCAGAACAGGTGCATCTACTGAAGTACACTTCTAAGGGGAGCAGTGGGCGGGTCAGGAGGGGTCTGCTGCTTCATGTGGGTCAGCTCCCTGGCCGGGGATGGAACTTGTGCTGAAGTGGCTGCGGAGAGCTTCATAGTTCTGTGTTTTAACCTGTTGTGCCAGCAGGGAGGGCCCTAAGTACCACTTCTTGGACACAGAATATATCTGTCAATAATTTGTTAGAATATGTATTTTCAGCTGTTTTAAACTGAATATTTCACCTTTGAGATTCAGTTGTAGTCTACTCTAGAAGAATAAAGAGTTTTCTACATAGAACAAAGCACCAAATATTATGTTGTAAATTAACCCCACTGTATATCATCTTTCTCCTTAACACACCTCCCTGATTCCCAGTACAGTCCTGAGAATGACTGGAAATATTGTTGATACAGAGCAGAGATTGGTCAAAGTGTAGTCTCCAGATCTGCAATATGATCATTCTCTGAGAGTTTGCTACAAATGCAAATATTCAAATCCTACCTAGACTTGCTGAATCAGTAATCCTAGGGGTGAGTTCAGTAACAGCTATTTTAATGAATCTCCAGATGCTTGCTCAAATTTGAGATTAAAGGCCTAGAAAATAATTGGGTCCTGATGTGTTTGTGGGGGAACCCTTGAGAGTGACTTAGGAAAGAAAGATCTGGGTTTACAAAGTGGTTCTGCAACTCTGAGTTAAGCCAGTCTGAATTGAGTAAAAGCACCAGGAGTCACTTGATTGTGGATTAGAACTGTTTCATGGGAGAGGAACTATAGGGAAAAGTTCTCAAAGAGTGGCTTTTACCAAGATTTCTCTCTATGAAAGGAAGAATAGAGAAGTTGAGAACTAGAAATGGACTGAGATATCTGTATGGTAAAAACAAGGCTTTCAGACATCTGATGTCCACTGCAGATGGCATTCCCTAGAGGGATGGTTGGCTTCCAAGGTAGAACTGAATGAAAGAAGACACAGACTGTTCTGAGTCAGCCAGGAAAACCTGCCAGCTTTGACAAGATGATTCCATAGGGGAGTTCGCTTTACTCCACTGTCAGTTGTCCTGAGAATCTGGTCTTAGGAGTTACCAGATTTCACTGTTAGGGTCTTGCCAATTCTAACTGGAATTGAAAACAGGGCTCTGCAGTGAGAATGACCAGACTGGAGGCAGCTTTTCCTGCCTTCATTCTTTGTAGGTTTGCAAATGGCCTCCTACTTTCAATAAGCTGACTTACCTCTATTATTTTATGAGCATGAGTAGGTTTGTCCTTGAGTTTATCTGAGAAAGAGCCTTCCTGAATTTGAAGTATTGATTCAGAATTTGAAAAGGTTGAGGTCAGGGACAATGACTTGCCTCAATGCATGTCCTGACTAGCTGTATCCCTTTGAGGAAATAATTGAGCTGTGGTTCATGGATACTTTATAGAAGAATCTCAGTTTCTGGGTTTTTAACAAAAAATTAAGAATTAAGTAACCTGGGGCATGTGTGTGGGACTTGGTCTCACAAAGAAAGCAGGGGGCCAGTTAAATTTAGTATAGATTATCACAGCAGGTCTAATCCACAGGCCAGGGTCAAATTAGTAGCTGCCTGATATGCCAATACTGGAGTTTTACTAGAACCTATCAGGTCACTCCTGTCAGAGCCATTTATTTTTAAAAGATTTATTTATTTATGCATAACTGGGGTGCAGGCCAGAGTTGTGGGGGTGGGGAACGGTAAGAGGATTCACCAGAGACAGCGTAGGGAACAGAATAGGCAATGGGCAGATCGGCTGAAGTACACTGTTGAGGGGAGCAGTGGGCAAAAAGGAAAGGTCTGCTGCGCCATGTGGGTCACCTCCCTGACGGGGAATTGCCTCTGTGCTACAGAGGCAGAAGAGAGCTTCATAGTGCTGGACTTTAACCCCTTGCACCACCGGGGAGGTCCCCCTGTCAGATCCATGTTTGTTTGTTTTTTTAATTTATTTTGTAGAACTGTGGCATATAGGCTGGAAGTATTGGGGGTTGAGAGGATTCACCAGTGACTGAGTGAGGAGCAGAACAGGTGGATCCACTGACATATACTCCTGAGGGCAGCAGCGGGTGAGACAGGAAAGGTCTGCTGTGCCATGTGGGTCAGCTCCCTGGCTAAGGCTTGAACTCAGGCCACCTGTGAGGTCCCTGGTAGATCCTTTGACTGTGGCAAAATTAAATTTGAGTGGGGTTTTTTGTGTAGTGAGAAATGGAGACTGAGAAGGAGATGAAGGTGAAGGAAGGGGACCAAGGAAATGGATATAGCTGTCAGGTAACCTCATGTGAAGTTCATGAAGGGAATATAGAATTGGGAAGGAAGGAGCTTATACTACTATGTTTTCAAAGCTTTTCACTATTCTGATCTTTTTCTGGACTGATGATAATTTGCCAGTGACTTTCTTGAAGTTTAGTACTCAGAACTGAAGAGAGTTTTAGAAATGAATTCTATTAGACTCCCATGTTTGAACTTCCTTGTTTTGGACACTGCTTCTGCAACGCACTCTAAATTCACAGTAATTTTTGGCCATCTTAGCAAACTGTTGAGTCATAGGTTCAAGTGAAGATCCCTAAGTCTTAAGCACTTATGCTAAATTTCACCCAGTGTTTCTAAAATAGATTTTCCTGCACTTACCCTTCTTAAATTTTGTTTTGTTAGATTTAGTGCATATTACCTTTTATTGAGCTTTATATGCCCAAAACTTTACAAATCTTACCTTCTCTCCACTCTTTAAACAATTCTTTTTTTAAAAAAAGATTTATTTTATTCATACAGAACTGGGGTACAGGCCAGAGATGCGGAGGTTGAGAGGCTTCACCAGGGATAGAGTGGGGAGCAGAACAGGCAGATCAACGAAGTACACTGCTGAGGGGAGCAGCGGGTGGGTCAGGAGAGGTCTGCCTCGCCATGTGTTCACCTCCAGGGCAGGCGGGGATCCAACTCATGCAGAAGTGGCTTGAGCTTCTTAGTGCAGTGTTTTAACCCGCTGCGACACCAGGGAGGGCCTCTTTTTTTTTTTTAATATTTATTTATTCATGCATACAGAACTGGGGTACATGACAGAGGTACTGTGAGAGGATTCACCAGAGACAGACTGGGGAGCAGACAGACAGACTGATGAAGTACACTGCTGACAGGAGCAGCCCGCAGGTCGGGAGAGGTCCGCTGTGCCATGTGAGTCAGCTCCCTGACCCAGAATCCAACTCAGGCTGCAGTGGCTGTGGATAGCTTCATAGTACTGTGCTTTAACCTGTTGCTCTACCAGGAAGGACTCTCTTTATACAGTTCTATGGGGCATTACTCTAATTTTTCAGATGTAGAAATTATAGATGTTAAATGATAGAACCTGGAATTCGAACCCTTGTCTGGCTATAAAAACCTCTTTATTTGAACACCATTCTAGCCCATTATGGATGCTTTGGTCTTTTTAGATTCATGTTCTGTTTTATAATGTATTAGTTATCTACCATCTGAGCTAAAGGCCTCATCTTAATATGGTTAGCATGACCCACTGCCCTTATCTTAGTCATTTGTAGTGATGGGACCAGATCAGGGATGGAGGCAGAGCAATTAAAGGGAAAGCATAGCTTGGGGGCCCTCCCTGGTGGCGCAGTGTGTTAAAGCACAGCACTATGAAGCTATTGCAGCCACTGCAGCATTAGTTCGATCCCCGGCTAGGGAGGTTACCCACAAGGCGCAGCAGACCTCTCCTGACCAGCCTGTTGCTCCCCTCAGCAGTGTATTTCAGTAGATCCACCTGTTCTGCTCCACACTGTCTCTGGTGAATCCTCTCTCTTACCCCCGCACCTCTGGCCTGTACTCCAGTTCTGTATGCATGAATAAATCAATCTTAAAAAAAAAAAAAAGAATCAGACTTGGTTTTGGAATTTTGGTTGCGTCATCACAAGTAGAGTGACTTGGCAAGATACTTAATTTTTGGTGCTTCCATTTTCTTACATATAAAATTCTTAATACCTATAAATGGGCTCATTGAAAGGTTGAATGAAGCATGGATGCAGAGTGCTCACAGCCCAGGACTAGAGGCGATCAATAAACCTTATATTATTTGTCTCCCTCCTTTTGGGGAATCCCTTTAAAATCTTTTTTACTTCTTGTGTTTTTTTAAAATTGATTATCTGGTTGTTTATTGTTTCCTGCGGTGCTGTCTTATGGCTTGCTGAGGCAGCACACTTAGTCATAGAAAGCGTGGCTAGGAACTGGACCATACATGCTTTATGTGATCATGAGTGAGTTGCTTAACCTCTTCTGCCCCAGTTTCATCATATATAAAGTGTGAGTAATAATAGTATCTACCATAAAGAATTGTTATGAGGATTAAATATGTCAATATATGAAATCCTTCAAACAGTGCCTGATGGCTAGTGTTATTAATCTTTGCTACTATTAACATTTGTAAATGACACACAGTAAGCATACTGTGTAGTAGTGTTATGAGAATTGAATGAAATAGTGTGTCAATTGCTGAACATTTACCCTGCAAATCTGTATAGCCAATTAATAGAATAAAATCTTCCTGTTCATAAAGATATCATGAGTTGCTCATCAGCTGCTTTGAAGTGTTGATCAGCACTATGTGCAGAATCATCTGGGGACCTTGTGAAAATGCAGGTACTGATAAATAAATCTTTAAAAAGATTTAATTATTTCTGCATATGGGGAGAACAGACATATCAAGTGAAATACACTGATGAGGGGAGCAGCAGGCAGGACAGGAGATGTCTTCTATTCCATGTGGGTCACCTCCCTGTTGGGGATCAAACTCATGCTACAGTGGCTGTTGTTGGCTTCATAGTGCTGCACTTTAAACCATTGTGCCATCAGGGAGGGCCCCTAAGTTCTCATTTCTGATCCTGTGGCTGATTCTGCAGACCCCACTTTGAGTAGCACTGCTGTATGTTTATATTCCTTTACTTTTCAGTCCAGGGTTGGTATTCTTTCCTGATAGACTTGTTTTCAGTAAATTGCTTCTGGTTTTCACTACTCCCCTTTCTACAAGCTCAAAACCCACCTTTTCAAAAAAAGGATCCAGGGCCCTCCCTGGTGGTGCAGTGGGTTAAAGTGTGCAGCACTGTGAAGGTGTCCACAGCCACTGCAGCACGAATTCGGTCCCCAGCCAAGATACTGACCCACAGACCTCTCCTGTCTCGCCCGCTGCTCCCCTCAGCAGTGCATTTCAGTTGATCTGCCTGTTCTGCTCCCCACTCTGTCTCCAGTAAGCTATCTCACACACCTTTTGCCTGTACCCCAGTTCTTTTATGCTAAATAAATAAATCTTAAAAAAAAAAAGGGATCCGTTGGTCAGGGTTAAATGTGTAGGCATATGGAAGAAAGATTAGTCTTTCAGCTCATCAAGGATCTAGACAGCACGCTTGTCAGGGACTGGAACTTTTTAGCTCTTAGTGGAGGACTCCTCTTTGAAACCAGGGCCATGCCTGTTTGTCCTCAGACCTTGACACTGCGCATCCTGCAGGTTCAGCAGTGGGCTCATTGGGCTGTCCAGGAGTCCTCAGGGCTGTTAGGTGTCACAGGTCTGGATGCTTGAACCGAGCTCACAGGTCTGGAGTCATTTAGGGGCTCTATTGTTTTGAGCTTCAGTTCTTGCTTTCTGCAAGATTTACCCTTCTCTCTTCAAGTTGAAGGTTGGTAAAGAAATAGAAGAAGCAGAAGTTTATCCAGACAATTCTCACAGAGGCTCTTTTGTTATCCCAAGCTTTTATTAGCGTTTCATTCTGGTCTATGACTTTCTCACCAGTTTTCTTTAAGGTCAGAACCACCCACCACTCATCTTTCTTACTGTGCCTGCTTCCTTTGTCCATGTGTGTTTCTGAGTGTTCTTTTAACACTCAGTGGAGAACATGCATACTAGTCTCTGTAGATTTTCCCCTTGAAATTTTGAATTGGTATTCTAATTAATTGCATAACTGATCCTTAGACTCTCATTTTGAGGATTTTTTAAAAAAATGCCTGCATGGGGCCCTCCCTGGTGGCGCAGCGGGTTAAAGCACAGCACTGAGAAGCTAAAGACACTTCTGCATGAGTTCGATCCCCGCCTGCCCC